ATATATATATAGTATAGAGAGAGAGAGAGAGAGAGAGAGAGAGAGAGCCTGGAGGTGAAGTTTCCGGAAGTGCGGACGCCAACGAGGAATTTAATTCAGCTGAATCGCCAATGGACTTGGACGACAGTGCTTATTACTGGGCTAGAAATGGGCCATCAGCAGGCCTAATTGACCAGTCCTTTATATATATATATATATATATATATATATATATATATATATATAGTTTTGTATTATACATGGTATATTCGTCTGATCCCACTACTTATTCCGTAGTCTTCTATTTTCTAAAGCAAGAGAAATGGGAAGTAAAAAAAGAAAAAGAATAAACAGAATACCCCGTGGAGACAACCCAATTCCCTAACCTGACAGAAGACGACGCCATGTGACGTATAGCCAAATGGACTTTGATATTGCAATCTACAAGTGAATATCAACCTGTCGGTCCACATAGGTAATACATATTTGCAAACAGTTCACAACAGGTTACGCACTGAAGGTTTAGCAGATACACATTTATGCCGTTCAACATGGTGCTCAATAAAACAATTCACTAAATACACAGTGAATCTAAAGGATGAAGATATGTCTTAGGATCGAGTAATAGATAAATAAACTCTCTCAAAATCATCTGCCACATGAAGCTTCATCCAACCTCATACTCAAAAAAGCAGTTCCGAACATACACATCATGAGTAAACGATTAACAAAGTATTAGGATTAAATGATATGGGATCAGTTTGCAACAAACGATTTGCCTGGTAGTTTGCACAGGAACTCGTTTTATTAGAAAATATTAACTAGGTAAAAATTACTGAAATTATCATTCTCCAAAAGAAGAGAGATTAATTCCGAGGATCATTTTGCATTTTGATGGAGCTTCTTGGAAGACCATGAATTTTCTTCTCAAGACCCCATTAATTTACAAAAATTGCCTCAAGAAGAAGCCTTATTATCATTGCACAGAAACCAGAGAATTATGTGAAAATGTTAAGATGGCACTTCTCTTGCAAATAACTTCTTGACCTGTACAGAAATGATGTAAAGGAAAGTAAATACATCTTGGGTCAGAACATGTATTTGTCGATGCAGATAGTATATAAGCATAAAATATTATGTTTGAGAAGTTCTAAAGAAATTGCCTGTAAGATGTTTAACAACTGTAGACTATCATGTAATGAAGGTTTCTTTGAGTCCCGGTACTCACCACTTAAAAGTAAAATCACACATGAATATTAACAATCAGCTATAAGAACATTTCTAGCAGACGATTGATATACATAAATTTAAGATACAAACATTTAAGATTGGATGTGCAGAATCGCAAAATGTAGTAGCATAAACAATAAATTACGAATGTGGCATTCGTAATTACCTGCTCCAATGTCAAGAACATAATCACATTCCATGATCCAAGACGACCAAAATTTGGAATAAATCCTTTATAAAAGGCCAAAGGTCCCTGAAAAGAAAAGATCATTGTTTCACATTGGTTAGCTTTGTCATATCCTTATAACCATTTCATGAATATTATGCCAAAGATCAGAGTGAAATAGACCATCATATCTCTCTCTCAAGTTGATTTATTGCACGTAAGTTTTTCAGTATAATTTTGCAGATACATGTACCACACATAATAAAAGAACACCTGAGACTGTCACATTAACAGAAATATCTACAAAATAAGTTTCTTATTAACACTGATATGAATAATATATATGAGGTACATCAATCAAAAGCTTTGGAGTTATTGAACTCCGTTGAAAAAAAGGAATCCCATGTTCATGTAGGTTTTAAGCATAGATTGAATGCTGCAGATGTGACTGAAAAGAAAATCTAGTAGTTGAATCAAATGTGCTGAATTGCATGTGCTGTTTGGTAAAAGAAGCAAAAAAGAAGATATTATCATGAGAAATAAACGAAATTTATAGGTAACAATTTCTTTATTTCTGTTAAAAAGGAGCAATTGAAAAGAAAAAAAAAAGAGAAGGCAAGTGGCTCAAAATAACTAACCATGCCCTAAAAACTCTTCAAGACATTCGCCATTACTTTAATAGTTCAACCAAACGAATCGATAATTTCTTGGATTCTTCTTCAATTCTCATGGTGCTTAGAATCGATAAGTTAATAGATAGCATTGCTTTGTTTAATATAGAAAACTCACAGTTTGAAGCACATGACGACCTAATTGCAGTCAGAATATTTGATGTCATTGCATAAGTGTACAAGCAGGTTTAGAAAAAATAAAAAGAAGAACACACGAGATACACCTAACATCATCATGGTAAATGTAAACCTGTATTTAAGCAGCATTTATGTAATCCATAAATTGATTATAGCATAAATTGATTGAGCCCTGCTACACCTTTATTATGCAAATCATAGTTGACTTTTGGCACCTAAAACATGGAAGTGACTAACCAGATGCTCTGTCAGATAGTGAAAAAATATGTATCTAAAAACATGGTTTCAGATATATAAAAACAGCAAAAATCATTTAGAAAGTCTTAGAAGAACTTTGACATTTTAATTCTCAGCACCAGATCAGTGCGGTGCCATGGGAATCATGAGCAGAGCCATATGCATAAGAAAGCAACTGAATGTTGATGCCTAAACTAAAGAGGGAAAGAAGCTGAAAGCCCTCTTCTACATGTCAGCAACTGGCCAATATTAGTACATCTATCTGTCTGGAAGCTCCACTAGTACCATTAAATAGATAAGATAAACAGAATCCTACATGGAAGTCATAAATTGGAGTTCAACTTCAAAGAAGACAATAAAAGAATATTCACTTATCTACCACTAGAGATATGAGATATCTTTTTTCAGATCATAATTACTGACAAAAGCTATCGGTATCACGGAAAGTACAAAAGGTAATCATGACGTACACCATGCTTCTCAACCAACCATCATTACGGTGAATTTTTCATCAAATATAACTCATCATGACTTAAAGAAAGAAAGAATAGCTACAAGTCTAGTAACAACCTACTTGATGGGTTAACTAGAGTTGGCAGGTATCATAACATTTCTATCTCCAATTTTCTCGACACTCCTGTCCAAACAACATACTACATCTACGGACAGAAGATAATGAAATTCTCTATGTCTCATGAGAAGTGCATTCCAAAGTAGTCTGAGATGATATAGTAATTTCTTTGTTAGAGCCAGGCATTAGAAGCTTGCTAGCGAAAAGGTCTGCAATTGACCCCCCACGCAGTTCAGACAATCCCTCTTAAAATATTATCTCATAACAATCATCTAGCACAAGAAATTACACCATAAAGGGCAAAATGAGCAGAGATGTGCTTTGATAAATATGAAAGATAAATGTAGTTACTCAGCATACTTCATTTTTCATCGTCTTGACAAAACAATCGAGTGTGCTTTTATAGGCTGAATCTCCCATCATTCTTGACTTCACCTGAAAAAAGACATTTCTACAACATCAGCCATACAAAAGGCCCTGAATATATATTTTGATTTTGTATAGTAACACAAAACCAAAGATAAGAAATTCTTAATTTGTAGCCAGCTACAAAGTATACACAACAAGCAGCCAAGCTGGTCATCATTTTCCCTATATAGTCATCTGTTTAACCAAGATACAGTTAAGTTCGGTTTAAAGTATATATAAACTAGAATACAGAATGACCATCCCATCCCTAATATTAATCTAGTTCCATGTTAAGCCTTCTTATAGGACAATGAGCTATATTTCATCCTATGATTGCATCCTCAGTGAAGAAAACAGCCCTATATTTTAAAGTAGTTTGGTCTAAACATTTCCAATCAATCACTATCCTCAATGAGCTATCTGGTTCACGATCGATAAGGGTGCTTTTATGTAAGAAGTAGCACTGGAGTTTTTGCTTTTAATAATTAGATATTGATATTCAAAGCATGCATTACAGGAAGAGCGTGCTTAAAATTTTACCAAGTATTAGAGGAGTCTTGAGGTACAACTTTGTTATACCTTCTATTAAATTATGAGCAAAGGATGCCTACAAAATTTTCTCTTAAAAATGAAACTATTCAACCAACTGTTTGTTACAAACAGATTTTTCCATTAATGGAGACTATGATAAAAAAGTATCTGATTGAGAAACTTACCACATCAACGGGAGAACCAATACAAACAGCAAAGAAACCAGCACCCAAGCCAGATAAAAGATGAGTAAAGACGTTATCTGTGAATCCAGGGATTTTCAGAATTGTCTGAATAAAAAAGAATGCACAATTGAATTGAAATTTGATGATATAAAAAAGAAAGTGAAACATAAAAGAACGAGGAGCCCTTTGTAATGAGATATTAAACAAGGGCTTTCACCTGTTTGACTTGATCATAACTAGCCAACTCGGCAGCATTTATGATAGCATTCCGTGCAACATTAGGACCAAGACCAGTCCAGAGCGCCCCAACTCCTTCCTGGATTGTACAAAAGCAAACATTCAGCTAGCAAATTACTTGAAATATTAGGCATTAACTTCTTGAAAGACAACCTGTCTGACTATTGTGGAGTAAGCATTCAGAGCTCCTGAATAACGTCTTGGCACACCAGGTGGAAGTTTCCCTTCAGCTTGAAGCCGTACTTTTACAAGATCAGTTGGATTTGCCACTGTTATCGCCAATGCACCTAATTGAATGGTAATAATTAAATTAGGGTGTATTGTTGTCAAGCAATGAACTGGAGCAAATACGATAAGGTCTGAGGTCTCTCAATTCTTTTATTGGCACTCTCACACTTTCACACATAACCCACCAGTAGTAAGCCCGGCAAGAATTTTCTTGGACAAAGGAATATCTCCCACAAAATTTTCACCAACATAGAAAGATTTAACCTGCGAAGAAGAAGGGCAAAATACAACTTAAATAATCACAGAATACCAAGAACATAAGAACAACTTATCAACTGACAGAAGGCTTTGAAACTTACAGGTTCATACATCCCAATCCGCAGCCCTCCAAAAACACATTGGCGGTGCAGCCCAGGTACGATACCTTTCCAAAGTGCCGTCATTCCTTCCTCCCGTGCGATAGTCGCAACAGTGCCCAGCATTCCGCTGTACTTTGGCATGGCCATAGCATCTGTAGCAGCTTTCTTCTGCAGCTGAAGTCTCACTTTTGCAGTGTCAAGAGGGATAGTGCAGAGCTGGAACAGACCCAAAACAAATAAAGACGATGAGAAAGGATGATGGCCACACAAATCTCCCATTTCTCCGGTAACGGAAATCGTTGTTTTGTGAAGCTTTTACACTCGCGTATCAGTGACAATGTATGTTCCTTCTATTTAATATCTAACAACAACGATACAACAATAACAGAAACCCTTATTTCCCAAAAAATCATCACTGATTTCAAGAAAGAAACAATGTTGGGAATTACATCTAAGGGCAAGACGATTCCAAGCATGAAGCAGAAGCAATGAACAGCATAATGGTAACAACGGTAACGGACCTCAGAATGGTGCTTACAGATACTTTAATACTAAAAGATCACACTAAAATCTGCAGCGCAAAAATATCAAGAAGTCCTTGGATCCCTAAATTAGCACTATATCCAAGAAAGAGATCATATTGAGATCGCATTTGATGGCAACCGACTGCAAGAATGAAGCAGAAGCAAACGACGAGAGATGGGTAAGTGACGGAAGAAGCGAGTCATCGCGATTACCTCCGCGAAGGAGGCGGCGATTGCGCTACTAGCGAACCTTCCGGCGAAGGATATCTCGATCTTGGAGCCGTGATCACCCATGGCGGCCTCCGGCTCACCGCGATCTTCAGGGTGGCGGAAAGATGGAGCTCGGGGATGAAGAATCGGGTCGGTAGGTGCTGAGAATGAGAAATCGGAGAGAGGGGAAGGGCAATTAATAAAGGATTGATTTGGCGTCGGAAGGCACCTCCGACGCGGAAAGGCGTAACCAAGTTGGACACCGCACTTGCTGATGCGCATCCTAGTCATTCTTTTATTTACGCGATCAAACTGCCTGTCGATACCCGCATCTCAATTGGATAACGCTTCGTGAACTAGTGGGACCGGTTGTGGATAGGTCGAAGGTACCGCAGTGGGTAATTTTGTCCTCTCTTTTATTCGCGCTCGGCAACTTGAGAGTCGACCATACTTTCGGATCAGTGCTATGCGATTAGGATCATATATTTGTTGTTGAGCGCGACCACTTGAAGTCGAACAAATCAGCCTGATGCACAATTAGGTACGTGAATCTCCATGCGAAATGAAGGGATACACGCATGTACTTTGAACGGAACCGAGAAATAAGACCACACGTTACAAACATCAGGTACATGACAATGAGCTGGTTATGTCATGTGATGCTTATCAAGCATTAGATATAGTCGGATGGGTCGGATTCAAGCCCGACGTACTCGTGAATGATTGATTGATTAAGATTGCCTGATGAAGAATTAAGACACTGCTGGTTGGCATCGAGGGTGGCTCAGTCACGACCCACTTGGAAAACGCATCTTGTGCTAAAGGTAACCTTATTTCACGAACGATACCCGGAAGCGTACAGCACGTGAAACCAGGAGCAGAAGGTTCTGGATGCCCGTGGTAGCTTCCGGGCCTCGCAACACGATGAAGCCCACGAAGCCGACTGAAGCAGTAGGAATTATCTAGAACCCACGTTTCCCCTCCTATAAAAATGGTGTCACGACGTCGGTTTCCCGCAACCCAAGTTGCAGATACCAGAAATATCTCCGTGGGATTCCGTTTCCCATCTCTTCTTCGTCGTCGTCGTCTTCTTCCCGCTAAATAGTCGTCGATCGGACCAAAGAATGTCGCTCACTCCCTTGGGATTCGGTTCACGGCGGGGCCGCATCTTCGATCCCTTCTCCCTCGACGCCTGGGACCCCATCCAGGGCTTCCCCTTCCACACTTCCCTCTCCTTCTCTCCGGCCACCGTACCCGGCGAGGCGTCGGCCATCGCGGCCGCTCGCGTCGACTGGAAGGAGACTCCGGAGGCGCACGTGTTCAAGGCCGACTTTCCCGGGCTGAGGAAGGAGGAGGTCATGGTGGAGGTGGAGGACGGGCGCGTCCTCCGGATCAGCGGCGAGCGCAGCCGCGAGCACGAGGAGAAGACCGATACCTGGCACCGTGTCGAGCGGAGCAGCGGCAAGTTCCTCCGGAGGTTCCGCCTGCCGGAGAATGCCAAGGTCGAACAGGTGAACGCCGCCATGGAGAACGGCGTGCTCACCGTCACGGTGCCCAAGGAGGGGGTCAAAAAGCCTGATGTCAAGTCCATCGAGATCTCCGGTTGATTGGTAGTAGTATGAGTGAAGAAGTGCTTACCGTTTGCTTGAATTAGGTCATATGTTGCGCGTTCGTCCTGGTCGGGTTCTCAACGATCGTTTCACACGTGTCGAAGAAGTTCGTGATGCGTCTGTCTTGCTTTCGTCATTGCCTGATGTGGTCTTTTGTGTAATATCGATGGAGATAAATAAATTATAAGCTAATCATATATTACAAATAATTTTTATGTTTTAATTATATTTTTGATTTAACACAGACTCGAGTCTACCATCAGAATTAGTTGGAGGCTACGGAAAAGTAGTGTGGGACGAACAACTCAAGCCAACGTCCATGTGAGGAATGGCTGGAATCTATAAATGGGTTAGCGCAGCCCAAATGGATTCAAACGTGTGCCGAGGCACGGGGTCGGTGCAGCCCATTAAAGGATCACGACAGCTCACGTTAAACCAGCAGGTGCTCACACCGTATGACATTGTTGGACGCGAAACAAGCACTCATGAGCACGTGAGTTGCAATGGCCACAGCATGGTCTAGCACTAGCAACTTCCCTATCCCACCGGATATGACGATGCGTGGGAGATGGGTTACTTCAGGGAGGATCTGCAAAGTAAAGAAGAGCACGTAGCACGAGTGTAAGGCTATCCTCCTCTACCCTGCAGCATTATTCACAACAGGTTTGTTGAATCTCATACAAGCAAGCATACATCTATCTGCCCACAACTAATTGGTTACATCATAAGCAATTAATTAGGTAAGCGGCTAAAGGAGAGAAACATATCAACCCTTTTTATACCCTCGTAAACTGCGGCCACTTGAAATTAAAATCTAACAAATGTTCGAACTCTTAACAATCGAGAAAACTGTAGCTTTCGCACACGCCTTTTCTCTCGACAGCGGAGACTGTGAGACACACTCGCACTCCTTCAACACGAGCAGTGTTGGTCTTAAATATTTGATGACATCGCGAGCGGCGTCACCGGTCACGAGATGCTTCCATGCCTAAAGCAACAAGGGTCTCGACCAAGTCAAAAGAAGAAACGGAAGCGAGCGGAAGCCCCGAGGCCAAGCGCAGAGATCGATAGAAGACGGACGCTTAAAGCGCGGTCACGTACGGTGAACCCCGCAGCTTGCTTCGCTCACAAGCAACCAACCAACCCGCGAAACACTCGGAAATTGTTACCGTCCCGTCCGCGATCCACGATAAAGTTCACCGGAGTAAATAAACTATGAATAGTGCTTCAGACGGGACAAAGAAAAAAGCAACCCATCGAAGACCGCGCCGCTAAGGGCACAGCACATTACAATAACATAAAGAAATTTTGTTGACCACCGTATCACACGAACAGCAAACTTTCATTTCGGGGTAACAAACCATATTTCATTTGACTTCATTCAGTACAGTCGAAGAGAAGCCAGTTGGTTTTACTACATTCTCCTATCCAACCATAAGAGAGATTGTAGAAACAAAGAGAGTTGCACAACAACAACAAAACAACGAAACGGAGCCCGTTTATTTTGTTAGACACCTGCAGCCCATTTTCTAGTGCTCTGTGCCCCCCCCACACACAGATAAAATAGAAGGCTGCAAAAAAGGAAGAGAATTAAGGCGGTCTTGGTGAGGGGTACACCACCAAGATGAACACAAAAGGTAAGATCTCTCCTGGTTTCTTATTGCGAAACAAACAAATCCCCACACCTTAATCCTCCGCCAAAACGGAACCACGGCTTATTGTTTCCTCGCACACTACCATCCAAAACATCCCCATCAAGATTTAGGCGCTCATCCATCTCTTCCACCGTCCAAAACCCAAAACAATTTCCCAGCCGCTGCTGCTAAATTCTATATCCTTCGGTTTTCATAGGTTCTACTACGCCCTACCCTAAAACTAACCAAAAGCTACGTTACGGTAAAAAGATGGCACTAGTACGTAGACGCTGTCAGTAGATCCACTCCTGAGGCAGTCCGACCTCATGGGCCGCACCTGCAGCGCCAGCTGCAGCGGAGACGGACGGTGAGATGTGCTGGTGGTTCTTTTTCTGGTGCGCGAGCACCGCACCGCTTCGCCCCATCAGTGCATCTGTCCATCCAAGCAATCCTTCGTTACATGATGGAAAAAATCGGGAAAGCTTTGCGAAGATAAATCAACCGCCTCGGAAGAGTAATTACCGTGGCTGAGAACGAAGCCACCGGGGAAGCGCGGCTGAGCTGCAAGCTCCTCAAGGTTCAGGTTCAACGCTTGAACCACCCTGTCAGGAACGAGCACGGTTGAACAGCCTGTGCAAAACCACGCCATAGCAACAACAGTTTAGAGTGCGTAAAACCGAGAACCAAGAAAGACATACTTGGAGCACACAGTAAATAGACAGGAAACAAGGGCAAGACTGGCTCCGCCAACACGGAAACACAAACAGCACCATCAAACGCAAAGGGACAGCAGATTGATACCAGCTTGGTGGCCAACATATTGAAAGCTGGCAAGAAACGACAGAAAGGAGTACGCTAACACAGCGACATGGGAATCCAATGATGAGATTCTGGCGGTGTGGGGCATTACCAGTCTTCTTCTTTGGCTCCAGCTTGTTGCCGGCAGTGCGGGGAAGGAAGACACCGGTGCCGGCGGACTCTTTCCGCGAGCCCGTGGTGTGGAGGAACACGGCTCTCATCCCGGATCCAGGAAGCGGTGGCGGATGTGGCTGCGGCTGCTGCGAAGGTTGCAGAGGATGTTTTCGAAGGGGCGGCCAAGCGGAGGGCGACAGATCTAAGGTCCGGCCGCACCTGCCTTCCCCATAACCCCCTCCGGTGACTCTACCTTTGCTCTGCCTCCCCCAGGCTGTCGAAAGCTGTTGCTTAATCGCTTGCTGCTGCCTCAGGTAGTAGAACTAACAAAAGACACATATCGGAAAGTGTGAGAGAGAGAATGCGGCGAATAGGTATGGATGGCAAAAGGTGTGATCACGCTCACTTGAGCTGCCTGCAGTTGCTGATGGGTGATGTGATTAGGGGAATAGTAGCCGGCGGCGGCGTTGTTCTTCGAAACCGAGGTCACCACTGGAGTCGGTTTTTTTGGCACGCTAAGAAGCCCGACATCGTTCAGGCCCTGGTGTCGCCCAAGATCGTCGGTGGTACGGAGTCGCATCACCTGTCCTGCAGCCTCACGGAGAAGGTCGCAGGGATCCCTGATGCGCTGCTGCTGTAGCGGAGATGACGACGGCGGCGAAGAGACCAGAGAAGGTCCATTTGGGCTCCCCTTGGTCGAGGCCGAGGACCAAGCGCACAGGGTGGACTGGGGCGAGCCGGCCATGGTCTTCAAGAAACCCCCACCAATCAGCTGATGCAAGGCCCGAAGCCTCTCAAGAATTAGTCGCTGGCGACAACTGAAGGGATTCTTTACCTTTGCGTTGTTCGCAGCTTCCGCTGCAGCAACGGAGGCGTCTTTTTCGTCATCTTGGAGGAAGTAACGAGCCATCTGCTGCGTGAGCCCGGCCATGTAGTCCTCCTCGTCGCTCTCCTCCGTCCCGGTCACCGACTCCACAGGTGAGTCCAGATTCGCGTCCGTACCTAGGGGAAACTCGCCGGGTAAGTAAGCT